TGTACATAGTTACTTGCATAGATATTCTCTAATAAGGAAAGACTTGTTTCTCAGTGTATTAGATCTTGCCCATTGTGCATTTTAGCCGTCCGTATAGGGTTTACTAGCTGAGAATCGAGTTCTTATTAAGGACTATATTTAATTACCTTGTTAGAGAATAACTCTATAATGCATACAGATGTGTATAGTTTGATTTACAGACTGTGTGTTAGTGCTTGGGTGGGTAGGTCTGCATGCATGATTAATAATTGCTTGGTAAACTGAACTACAACGAAATCTGATACCAAAAGTTTTCTGTTCTTATTATCTTAAGATAGTTTGTTTTGAATTTTCGATTGATTCAAAAATCGATTCCTTAGCAAACCTATATTGCCACTGCCTATTACTCTATTTAAATAGGATGGTGGGGGGAAAAACCATATTTGATGGATAGCATGCTAACATCTATATGTTGCATTCATGAAGTGTCAGAATGTATTGATATGAATGTATTGCTAACATGATTTGTTTGCCATCACAGATATTTGATGGGAAGGACGGGAGACCGAAGTATCCCCGTCGATGGGTGATACTACCTCCATTCCTGTAGAAATGATTGGCGACTAGGCTGTCCTGCCCTTGCTGGTCTTTTGGGTATTCAAGTGTTGGATTCCATCCATGCCGGATGGGTGATGAACTTGAAGAAGTTGAAATCGCATGTTCACTCAATTCCATGATGGATCTTAACATTCTGCTTAGATGTTGTAATTCATTTGAACTAGTTAGGGATTTGCTTGTGGATCTATACAAGATAGGTCACCTTGTTCTTTCCAGTTGAACTGTTTTGTCATTTGTACTTCTTGACCATCTATGACATTTCTCTTTCTTATAATTTTAGAATTCAAAGCAATAATGTTGTTAACTTGTTAAATATATCAATCATCATAAAATTAAACGATTAAATGGAGGTTGTCAATCTTGCATGAATGTGCTGAGTTATGATTTGGTCCACACCATCAGAACATTTCATGAAGTTCTTAATTCTTTGGTTTCTGTTTTCTTCAACTAAAAATGACATGAGGAGCTCCCACTTTATGGTAGTTAGCTAGAACTATTATATCAAGGCCTAGGCCTAGCTGGTGACAGAGAGGATTTGAATTCTGCCAGCCACTAGAGAGTAGTGGCTCTTAACTAGACATCTATAATGTTGTTTAATGCATTATAGAATGTAGCTTGTAGTTGGGTTCATTGCCCAACATTACTCACCAATATTATTATTTATGTCTCTTTCGCGTTCGATTCGCTCCCCCCCAATATCTCAACTTTCATGTAAATGAATTTATATGCTTACAAACGTTCTGGAATGACGAACAACATAAGTGCCATGCTTGCAAAAGAACATAAGAGGGTTGGGTGAGTTGTTAAGGATCGTTCTCTTCGCTATTAAGGCCTAGGTTCAAGTCTCGCTGCCGACAATCCCTTTTGGTGAGTAATCTGTAAAAACAAAAAAATGAACTAAGACCTCTTCTGTAAGTCCTTAAATAGGCCTTGGTATTCCTTGACCCTAGGATAGGATAGCCTCCAATCCCCCTAAACTTATTTTTTACCACAAAAAATAAAAATAAAAATAAAGAACATAAGAGGAGGATTTGAACTTTTTATAGAGAATTAAATTTCGCGTAAATAGACATGTAGACGTTAAAACGGTTAAATAGATATGATTAGGTGTGTCAAAGAATGAAAATAGGAAGAGGGGCAAAAAGGTCCAGAAAGAAGAGAAAAATGACTGGAACAGCGGAAATCGAGGGAAGCCCAGCCAGCCAGCCCATGGACGCGTTCTCAAGTCTTCTTTATTTCCACTCACACATCTAATCCAACGGCCCACATTTCATGTCCGCCTCCCCTTCTTATTCTCACTCTCACCCTCCCATTTCCTCTGCCCACTCTCAAAACACTGTCTTTGTCTCTCTGACACGCTCTCTCTCTCTCGCCTTCGATCTCCTTCCGTTACATTCAGAAAAAGGTCAATTTTCTCACCCTCTCTGTTTCTCTCTTTGATGGAATTTGCTTTCCTCTTTGGTTAGCAAGCGCTTTAGATCTCTGATTTTTTTTTTTCTTTTTTCCTTATGATTTCATTGCTGCATTGTTTGGTTTGGGAGTTTTTGGTGTTTGCTTTGGTACGGTTTGGGGTTTTAATCACATTTCGGATTCGTAGCTTTTTTCCCCCTTTTTTATGTTCAAAATAGCTACCAAGGATTGCCCATTTGCGTTTGATGAATCAATTTGCTTTCCTATACTTAGCTGAAAACGTATAAAAATTTAATCTTTTAGAAACAATGAACACACAATAAAATAATGAATGAAAAATCATGATTTTTAATCACCCTCCCTTTCTATTTTTTGAATAACTTGTGCTCGTTATAGATTGTTATCAGTATATTTGGTTATACGTTTGATGTGTGATGGGGAGCTCATTTAATCTGTTCTTTCTAATCTTTTTGTTTTCCTCAAACGTATTGCATTGTTTTGTTGTTGCATTGAGATTTGGTGGTACATTTTTTGCCTTTGGCAATTTGGTCCTAGCCACTTTCTCGGATCCTTTCATAATGGGTTTGACTATGATTGTTCATTTATTAGTCAGGGGCATCGTACACCCTGCAAACATTCTTTAGAAGAACCATCTGTTCAATTTCTGTTTTGTGGTCCTCTTTTGTGTTACATCACGCTGTTGTTTGTGTGTCCCACTGTTTTATGGTCCTCTTTTATGTTTCCTAAATTTCTTTCCATTGATTTCAAGCAGTCTCTCATTTGGAAAAATAAAACCTTTTCTTTAACTTTGTTATGTGTTAGACTAATGCTGTCTTGTACATGAGCATTGATTTTTACCATATATATTCATTTGGTAAAGCAAGGTTTTTTTTTTCAAATGGGGAAATTGTTGTTGGCCCTGTTGTAACTGGTTGGTGTACCTAGCAGGTAGAAGATGGCCGATGCTGAGGACATTCAGCCACTCGTGTGTGATAATGGAACGGGAATGGTCAAGGTATTTTTTGGCAAGAACTTTAGTTTGACATTGAGATGGTTTGGATGGTTGTGCCTTTTTTTTCTTTCTTTTCAGAACATTGCATCTTAAAGACTGCTTTTGATGTGACTTTTTAGGCTGGATTTGCTGGAGATGATGCTCCTCGAGCTGTGTTCCCTAGCATTGTAGGACGCCCTCGTCACACTGGGGTCATGGTTGGAATGGGCCAGAAAGATGCCTATGTTGGTGATGAGGCTCAATCCAAGCGTGGTATTTTAACTTTGAAGTACCCAATCGAGCATGGTATTGTGAGCAACTGGGATGACATGGAGAAAATTTGGCACCACACCTTCTATAATGAGCTTCGTGTTGCCCCAGAAGAGCACCCAGTTCTTCTAACTGAGGCCCCTCTGAATCCCAAGGCTAATCGTGAGAAAATGACCCAAATAATGTTTGAGACCTTTAACACTCCTGCTATGTATGTAGCCATTCAAGCTGTTCTGTCCCTATATGCAAGTGGTCGTACAACTGGTAAGCATATTGATTAGTTTTTCCTTTTGTAGCAAAGTTGTTGGTTTGAAGTTAGTGTCCAATACTGAAAGTAGCTTGCATGATTGTTTTTGTTTTAATGTGTGACCTTGGAAAAGTTCCTAACGGTGAATCAGTATAGACGGAGATATCTCCACCTATGTGATTTTTACCTGAACCACAAAGAGTGTCTTGCCTGAGTTGAGATTACTGGCATTGGTTTTAATATTTTTGGTTTGAACTACTAGTCTAGTTGGGGGATAACCTCAGCGATGCTGCTTTTGGAAAGTTTATATTTGGGAATGTTTCTAATGGAGTTCACTTATGCTATTCAAAACGTGTTCTTCTCATCTTACTGATGGATGTTTTTGCTTTGCTGTGAAGGTATTGTGCTTGACTCTGGTGATGGTGTCAGCCATACAGTCCCCATATATGAGGGGTATGCCCTACCTCATGCCATCCTTCGTCTCGACCTTGCTGGTCGTGACCTCACTGATAGCTTGATGAAAATTCTTACGGAGCGCGGTTATTCTTTCACTACCACTGCTGAGCGTGAAATTGTTAGGGACGTGAAGGAAAAACTGGCTTACATTGCCCTTGACTTTGAGCAGGAGATGGAGACTGCCAAAACCAGCTCTTCAGTTGAGAAGAGCTACGAGTTACCAGATGGGCAGGTAATTACCATTGGTGCTGAGCGATTCCGATGCCCAGAGGTTCTTTTCCAACCATCAATGATCGGGATGGAAGCCGCAGGCATTCACGAGACCACATATAACTCCATCATGAAGTGCGATGTTGATATCAGGAAAGACCTGTATGGCAACATTGTCCTCTCTGGTGGTTCAACCATGTTTCCTGGCATTGCTGATAGAATGAGCAAGGAAATTACTGCTCTAGCCCCAAGCAGCATGAAGATCAAGGTGGTGGCACCACCTGAGAGGAAGTACAGTGTCTGGATCGGAGGATCCATCTTGGCTTCCCTCAGTACATTCCAGCAGGTTTGTGTTCATTTTTGCATTTCAACATCATGTTCCAAAGTTGATCTTGGATGATTACTAATCGAAGCATTCTACTTGTTTTCTTGATTGCAGATGTGGATTGCAAAAGCAGAGTATGACGAGTCTGGGCCATCTATTGTCCATAGGAAATGCTTCTAAAATTTACGACAATAGGATCATGGAGAGAATTGGTGCTGTGTTTATTTCTTGAAACCAAGAGGCAGCTTGTGCAACCCGTTGTGTCTAACTTTGTTAACCTTCTGTGTTATTCTCTTGTTGGAGCTATGACTTTGAGAAGGCGAGTCAGATTTTAAAATGGGTCAATTCTTTAATTATAATTTGTTTTCATCTCTTTTTTGGCCGTTTCCATGCAAGTTTTCATGATTATCAAATGGTTTTTCTTTTTTCTGTTCTCAAGAAAAGAAATTGTGCAATATTTGCTTCTTGTTTAACATGTATGTATTGAAACCGCGTATCAAAGCATATACAAACTAGGTTATCACACAAACAGAACATAGCTTTCAAGTGTCATTTTACAGTAGAAAGAAGGATTCTGCCGTCTGATGCTCACTCTCGAAAAATGGATGATCTTCTATGTCAAGACTCGTGTCAGGTTTTGAGATGATGTCCTGGTAACCATCAATTTGCTGTGGTTTCTTCATCTCCATTAAAAATTTCTCGTTAGAGCCGAAGACCTGATTTTTGCAACTTTGATGGTCATTGTGGTGAGAATTACATCTCTCATATGTATTGAATGACAATTCCTTGAAGCTTGAATCTATGAAAGAAGAACGCTGCAGGCTGAAGCTCCCGAAACCTTCGATTCCACGTGTTAGATTGCGAGCTCTGGCTCTCTCTTCTCTGAAGAACGCCTCATCTTCAACAAGTTTTACTACTCTCTCAGATAACTTTCTCACACTCAATCCCCAGTTAAACCTGCATGCGAAACACAGACCCTAAGGAACCCAATAACGAAGGTTTAATATAGTAAACATGAGAGTTAGATCAAATCAAACATGCCAACCCTTTCTCATCGATATATTGAAACCTCCCCATCTCCTTGATAATATCTGTATCACCCTCAAACTCCTCAGCAATTCTCAATGGCCCATGGCTTAGCAGGTGTTCCAATAGAATTAGAGCCTTGTAAGAGCCTCGCCAATTCTTTCTATTGAAGCTCAGCAAACTGACTTGGTAACCAAGCAAAAAAAGAGAGAGAAGAAACTTAGTTAAAGTGGATTTTATGAAGAAGATTAATTGGTAAAAAAAAAAATCAGATTACATGAACACAAAGAACCCATTAACCTCTTATGTAGAATCTCCACAATCCTCCAATAATCATCAACTTCAAAGGCAGCCCTTGATATCACTCCAATGGTGCGTGTGTCTGGCGGCCATGGATTTCCATTTGTGGCTTCTTCCGTTATTCTGCAAACTCCATCCACAAGAACAAGATTAACCCAAATCAATCCAAATGAAGCTTTAAAAGAAATGATTATATAAACAACCAAACTTACAGTTGTACAGGAGTTACATCAGTCAGCGCCAAGCGAGCAGTTTTAATCTTCTCTTTCAGAAAGGAAGAGGCTTGCTTCTTCAACTCGTAAAACAAAGGGCTGCTCATAGCTATTTTCGTTTGGAACGATGAACATGCATGTTTTGGAATTTTTCTAAAGGTGATAAGAATTTGCTGTGGGTTTTCTTCTGAGCCTTGTGTACGTAAGGAGCGCAACCACTCCATTAGCACAACAAACACTAACTACTCTCTAAAAGTTGTGCTTGCATATGTAATGAGAGGAATTAGGATCATTTTTTAAGAATACTAGACCAAACAAATTCAAAAAATTCGAGCTCTCAATTTTGACCTTCGGGAGAGGTTAAAACTTTCCATTGGTAATATATATATATATATACAAACGACATTCCAATTTAATCTAATCTAAACTATGAATAAGGGAATTCGAAGCTCGAGTGCAAAGTGGAGAGCACATCCACTCTAGCCAACTTGGCTAAGCCTGTGTCTGCAAGGCAACTCTGATTAAGTAGCCTGTCTTTAAAGTTTTGCTACCGTCTTGTATGTATAATCCCAGTGGGCATCAAGGTCCCATTAGAAAAAGAAGCAGACTTTACAACTTTTCTTTCTCCTGTTTTTTTATGTTTTACTATAATTATTATATTCAGCGGCTAAGCTTGATCTCAGAAAGTTTACAGTTATGATCATTCATAGTGGCGAAAGTAAAATATTGTTAACATGTACTCCATTTGTTCTTAACGTATAACTTTAAGTTTACAGTCATGAGCACTCCTTGAAAAAGTGATGCTCTTCGGAAGTCAAATCTGAAAAAATATTATGAGAAGAAACAAAGCAGTAGGCCCCCAAAATGATTCATTTTACATACTAAAATCCCATTGTTAGATCACCAGCTTTGCCTAAAAAGACTTTTGAACATAAAAACCCTCTATATTTGTTCTCTGCAAATGCTTTGGAAGGAGAACCAGACGCCCTGTGGTTGTCTAATACGGAGTGCTTGCTTTCCACTGGCAATGATAAATAAGACGTGTGCACAATCAGCTATGAATTTGCCACATACCGGTTCTATATCCAACAGACATGAGCACAAGCTCCCAAAGCATATTTAGAATGCTTAACGGATTCACCTTTGATCCAGGAATTTCAGACCAGTTTACAGATATCTCAATCATTCGAATTCTGAACCATTTGCATAGGTAAACCAGCTCAACATCAAAGCACCACCTGCAGAAAACCAACATCTGGTCATCATTCCAAGCCTCTTTGCCAACAAAAAAATTATTTGTTCCAAAACATCAAATTGACATACATATCAGAATCTCAACCGCAAAAGCTACAAGGCACTCAACGAAGGATAACAGGGAAGCAATAAAAAGATGCTTGTATTCTAGTTACAAAGCAACAGAGGTAGGCATAAACTATAGCAAATTGCTATTTGAAGTGCAGTTACCTGTTCAAACAGAATGCTATCTATACAATCTAAAGTGGATTTACCTGTTCAAACGGATGTTAGTGAAAAGCTTTCTTGCAGCAGCCCTGGTGAACATCTTAAAACCACACTGCAATGCATGAAGAATACCACGTCAGGATAACAATTAAGTGCCTTCAATTAAGATTTGGTCTACTTTGCAGAAAGTACTATCATGTTTGCTATTTTCAAACTGAAAGAATAAATAATACACGTAAAAAAACAGAAGAAAAAAGAATACTTGTGTATCACGAATTCCGGGACCAGCAGCCAAAAGAACCACAAGATGGAAACCTTTCATCAAAAAATTGCGGTGCCACTTCCTCTGAAACATTAGTCAACTGGTTCAATTAAAATACTTTAAAAAAGTAAGGGTAACAAAAATTAAAATACACATATGATATAGCTGCAAGCAGCATTAGCAAGACTCAACTGTAGCCAGGGCTTTCTCCTCAAGATGAGCACGAGAACCAAATGCAGCAATTGGGATATCAGATATTCTAAAACTTGAATTACTAGCAGATGAGTCCCCAAACTTATATTCCTCTTTGGCAGCTGCATGGATCTGGGATGCAAAATACAAGGTAGTTTGTAGAAGATCAGTTAGAATTTCCCCAAAACTTGGAACCAAATTGTGTATATATGTATGGTCACTGTTGATACAAACCTGGTTTTCAAGTTTTTCTGCATCATTAACCTTGGTTGCTCCATCAGCATCCAGCATTAAAAGTAGCTCACCCCGTGAATGAAGCATTCCCTGTTTTACAATGCTTTCACAGAGGTAAAAAGCTTCAATCAATTATCGTCATGCATAAGAGAGAAAAGATGGAGCCTTCAATAACATCAGAACATAATCACAAGGGACTGGTTCAGATTAGACTCACTTTTCTGATAGCTTCTCCCTTTCCATGATTTTTACCAAGAAGGATAACCCTCACATTATCCACAGAGTATTTCTTTACAAATTCAAATGCTACTCTTTTTGTCTCATCAACACTTCCATCATCAACAATCACCACCTGCCCACAAAATATTTCTGAAGTAAAGGAATGGAGATGCGGAAAGAGCCAGACACGGACTAACTTGTTAACTGTTTTCCAGTTAGCAACTATTATGGCCTTATTACTCAACACCTATTTATGCACGAAGGTTTAAATATTTAGGCGCTTTTTTTTTGTTTTGTCAAACAAATATCTAGGCACTTGCTGGGGAGCAAATTATCTAAGTTCATCATATCATTACTCTATCAGCTAGCATATATAACAGCTGTCAATGAGACATATTCAGGTGATCTAGCAAATGAAAGAAACAAAAGAGTACCTCATAAGAAAATGATTTATCCTTTGTGGCACGTTGTTGAAGATAACTACAAAGTAACATATGAATGTCATTACGATAATATCATGACTCTATCAAAAACCCACCACTATTGAACACCAAATGGGATGGTGCAGATTAGGAGCAAAAATCAAATCATAATACATTTTGAAGTGGAAGTGAAATGCAATTAGCTAAGCCTCAACTTACTTCATGGTTTCCTCAAGGGCTCCAGGAAGCCTAAGCTCCTCATTGAATGCAGGGACTATCAAAGATATATACTTTTCAGCCGGATCAAAAATCGAAGGGCAACGAACCTAGAAACAATGCTTCCAGATGAGTCAGTATAAACTCAAAAATCCATTCCCATTGGAAATCACAGGGTTGACTTACATAGCCATTGGAACCAAAAACACAATTTTGCAAAATTATGTGAATACTACAACCAATTTCTGATCAACATCCACAAACCCTAATTGATGCATGAAAAAAAAAAAAATCTTCAACCCAAAACCAAACAGATCACTGCAATCCAAAATATGTACCTGTTTCAACGATTTCGGGTCCTCGAAGATCGCAGGAGCTTCAACGTGCCTATCAAAATACAATTATACATATAAAAAGATAAGCTAAAAGGACAATCTTTTTAAGTGATTGAGAAGAAGAGAATTGAATAAGGGGATTGGTAGAACGTACGCGTTGTTGTTTTTTCTTCGATAAGCTTCGAAGAAGACTGCAGAAACAAAACCTAATGCTACGATGAGAATGAGGGCGAACAGGAGCTCCACCATCGTCCATACAATTACAAACTCCATTTTCTTAAATTTGCAGGTCCAAAGTGGAGACGGTGGCTGCTCTTCCTCTTCTTGAGATTTAAGAAAAACCGACGCGTCCCTGCACCAGCAGACTCTGTGTGCCACCAATATAACGTTGAGGAAAGAAAATATTGAAATAAAACTGTTATATAAAGATTTGTGAATACAACAGTCAACAAGCCCGTCTAGCTCAGTTGGTAGAGCGCAAGGCTCTTAACCTTGTGGTCGTGGGTTCGAGCCCCACGGTGGGCGTTGATTTTTTTTTCCTAATAAAATTTGATTTTTTTTTTCTCTCTCTTTCAGTTCGGTAAACGATCAAGTGGTCAATGGAGGCAAATTAGGGGAACGGGACCAACATTTATAACAAAATAAGCCCAATTTTTCTGGGATGGTTTTCGTTGATGCTGGGGTGCAGATTCAGCCCAATACATAAAGTGCTCTCGGGATATTGAGAGATGGGATAATCAAACACAAAATCTCATATGCAAGAATAAACGATTTTAGTCACTTGAGAGGTACATGCCCTTTGCGAGTGAGTGATGTGTACTTTGAATTATGAGCTCAAAGTCAAGTGAAGTGACTCTTATTTTTCACATTTCTTTCTTGCTTGGTAAAAGTGTTGCAGTTTACTGTGAGCTTACTCATTGCGTTGCTCTTTTAACTGATTTGTAAGTCGTGACTTTGAAGCTTGTGGACTTCTTTGCAAACCAAGGACTTGCTTTATGATCTGCTTTCCTCTCTGTTTCAACGGAAATCAGTAGACAAACTGGCATTTACCAATTCTTCTGGTTTCCTTCACATTTTTATTTGTATGGTGGTGGTTGTAACTTGTACGTGACAGAGAGCAAGAAGCAATTCAGGTTTAATTTAGGTCTACCAATAAGAAAAATCCACACGTTTCTGAAGTTTTAGATCTTAAACCTAGCAGACACAGCACCAGCAAGTTCACCAACCATCCATTTAGAAATTTGGGAAATTGGTACCCTTTTTTTTCTTCATTTTTTTTAGATGAAATGAAAGTTTGCATGTGGCAGCATCGAGCTCTAATTATGAGACCAACACAAAGGCACTGTAGCACACTTATTAAGTTATTAGACCCCACGCAGACATGTACATACAATCGTATGCATAAAGCATCTCAACTCAGTCAAGTTGGCATCAATGGAGGAGACAGAGATGGGCCTTCTCTCGAGGCACAGCCATGATTAAAGCCACAAGAATTAGAAATTAATTGACGTTTGACAAAAAAGAAGAGAAAAAAAAGGGAAATGGGTTTTCTTTTTTCCTCTCATTTTGGTGGACTGTAAAGCTTTGGAAAGAGGTGGAGAAATTGGCCCTGCAACCTTCCATTCCAACCCTACCCCATATTCTCTATGCTTTTTCCACCATGCCAAACAGACCTTTTACTAACCATCCCCATCATCATCAGTCATCACATCATTATCATCACATGCACATCCATATTACTCATTCATGCACATTATCCAGCTTGTTTATGAATTAATTCATTTTAATTTAGAGGAACCTTTTAAGCTCTCAAGAAAATTTTTGGTATTATAATATGGTGAAGGCTTTGTATCTTCGATGTTTGGTTCTCACGGGGGTTAAATCTGGGCACAATTTACTAAATAACAGTGTCAGGGCTCAGTATAAATAAAAATTTAATACCCTGATGTTCATGCAAACTCTCAGTAAATTTATTAAACCAGTAATCTTACTGCAGATTTTCTTCCCTAATGATCATTTTGAGATAAATTAAGGAACAATTATTTAACTACAAAGATGGGATTGATGAACTAACAAATTGAAGTTTTTTTAATGTCAGTAAAATCAAATCTGGTGCAGAATCTATCACTTACCTCTCTGCTTTCAGAATTGTCCAGAAGCCAGCATGTGCGATACAGTGAGCAGAGACATTAACATATAGGGAAGCTCAATTCACTGTACATGACAGAACACTACTACTTATTCATACTAAAATACAATTGATTCCAAAGAAAATAAAGAGAACTAAACAAAGGCAAGATCTTCAACAAATAAACCAATTTCCCCATCATAATAACAGAAAGAAATATAAAAAAAGGGTCAACCCCATTAAGGAAATTAAAAGCCTAATAGAAGATGATAAGGTATTGTTGATGGAAAATAAAGAAAAAATAAAATTTTGAAATTTTCTAGTGAGCCATGGCCACAGGAGCTACATTTGCATAGCTAATGGTTCTCTGGTTGGGCATGGCAAGCATTGCAGTGTGATCCAAGAAATCTTGAAGCGCCACAACAGACTGCAGAATTGTTCTGAGATCATCAGCACTTGAGAAACCCAAGCTTCCCACTTGTCTAACAGCATACACATAAAAAGTTATGCATCCTTTTCTGAATTTGAACCTTGCTATCTCACAGCCACTCAGGCCTCTGATGAGCCTCTTGTTCACTTCCCCAAGAGGAATTTCTGGCGGCCAAACACGGTCTACGGCAGCCTTCATGGCTTCGGTTTCGAAAACAAACAGAACCACTTTGGATTTCTTGGTGCCAAGGCCTAATGTTAGGGTATGCCAGGCATGGTGTGCCAAGATTGTGAAATTTGTGGGAAGAAAAGCTGTGGTTGAAGGAAAAGGAAGCTTATTGTTGGAGTTGGGTTTGTTTGGTGGTGGAAGTGAGAGGAGTTGCAGAAGCTCTAAAGGCCTTGCACGCCTGATTGTGAATGATTTTACAATGAACTGGCCTCCAAAACGCAGACCCTTCACCTCAGAGCTTGGCTTGAATGAGAAATCTGATGAGGCTGTTTTTGTGGTTTGATCATTTGGGTGCTGGTGTTTCTGCTTCTTGTTCTTGTTACTGGTCTTCTTCTCTTTCTCTCCCATGGCTTGTAGGAGGATATTGGGGGGGGTTTTGGTGGATATTGCTTGGTGGGTTTTGTTTGTGTATCATAACAAACCAGTCTAGAGCTTTTGATGGTATATTATTGTATTGGGTTTTTTTTCTTTTTGGTGAGCTAAACCATTGTTCATAATTTAAATTGCCTTTATTTTATTCCAAGCAAATTAAAAAAAATATATAATGAAAGAGAATAATAAAATGGCTGATGATGTTGCCACTTCATCTTTCCTCTTATCTCTGTACCTTTGATTCTTCTTTATATGGGGACCCCCCCATTGAAGCCTATACGCATGATGCTGCTGCATTAAGAGCATGTATGTACATGTATTTCTAACTGTATGATGCATGATTTATGTGCACATTCTTATTACAGGTTGGTGCCAGGCATGGTGTGCCAAGATTGTGAAATTTGTGGGAAGAAAAGCTGTGGTTGAAGGAAAAGGAAGCTTATTGTTGGAGTTGGGTTTGTTTGGTGGTGGAAGTGAGAGGAGTTGCAGAAGCTCTAAAGGCCTTGCACGCCTGATTGTGAATGATTTTACAATGAACTGGCCTCCAAAACGCAGACCCTTCACCTCAGAGCTTGGCTTGAATGAGAAATCTGATGAGGCTGTTTTTGTGGTTTGATCATTTGGGTGCTGGTGTTTCTGCTTCTTGTTCTTGTTACTGGTCTTCTTCTCTTTCTCTCCCATGGCTTGTAGGAGGATATTGGGGGGGGTTTTGGTGGATATTGCTTGGTGGGTTTTGTTTGTGTATCATAACAAACCAGTCTAGAGCTTTTGATGGTATATTATTGTATTGGGTTTTTTTTCTTTTTGGTGAGCTAAACCATTGTTCATAATTTAAATTGCCTTTATTTTATTCCAAGCAAATTAAAAAAATATATAATGAAAGAGAATAATAAAATGGCTGATGATGTTGCCACTTCATCTTTCCTCTTATCTCTGTACCTTTGATTCTTCTTTATATGGGGACCCCCCCATTGAAGCCTATACGCATGATGCTGCTGCATTAAGAGCATGTATGTACATGTATTTCTAACTGTATGATGCATGATTTATGTGCACATTCTTATTACAGGTTGATGTTCATGCAAAGTTGGAATAGGTCATGTTGGTTGGTCCATGAAAATAGGATTTGGCTCCCCAAAATAGACGGCAGGGATTTCGGCAAGACACCAAACTGATCTACTAGGATTCAGCTGACTTCTCTCTGAACCAAAAGGCAGTCAATCTTTTTTCTTTTAGCAGAGTTCAAAAAACATGTGCAACCAGAAGATTTTGGGTTTGTAAATGATAATTAGCCTCTAAATGAGAGGATTGGGACCACATTTTTGGAGCCCCTCCCATCATAATTGCACCCATTTGTCTAAATTGATCAATGTAAATGACAATTTGCTTCAAAACTTCAGAAATTAGCCCCTCTGTTATACTTTCTGTCAGCAGCAGAGGGAATTAAGCCGTATGCTATGCTTAGTAGGGAGGGACTATGTAATGACGAGATTATTTAGCACTATTTTTTTTCATACAAGCGATAATGAGGGAGGGGATTGAACACAAGACTTTGGTTGCAGAGGTTAATGTTAAATTGGGGAGATGAAGTATGGTTGCCTCATATGCAAATCATTTGACAACCCAAAAGTCTTCCATCTAATCTAAAGGTGGGTTCCTTCCAAAGCCACCGCTGCCTTCAATCAAATCATGGGATGGATATGCTTCGACTAGAGATTGTGAGAGGACCAACTAAAAGCAATAACTCTTAGAAGAAAGAGGGCAACTAGCAAAGAGGGAGGGGGCCCTAGCAAAATTAATTTTGAGAAATTTGTCACTTCTAAGGTTTACAAAGAGTACATCAGGTGTATAAAATATTTGAAAAAAAAAGAAAAAAAAAAGAAGTTGAATTGAATGGGAGTCTATCTGTCAATGCTGCATAAACCTTTTAGAAAAAAAAAATAGAAGAGAAGTGTGGATGTGGTTCCACTAAATAAGCTTTAGGTCATGTGGTATGGAATGACTCTGTTTTTTTCTTCTTTTCTAAGGGAAAACATTGAGATTTCATGGGATTGAAAGGTGATGATTCTTTAAATCTTCATGTAAACCACTAAATTTTCACTTTTTATTCTTCAATTAGAAACTTGTTGCGTTAACGGTAAGAATTTACGTTCTATCATGTCTGTAAAAGAAGCAATACATTCTATTATACCATAAGATTTTGTATACTGTGTTGGTAAACTGTAATAATTCCCAGCACAGGAAAAAGTAGCAGCTATGAATATCCTGCACCGTTGAAGAAATTATGAGGGGCAGTTAACATCCTAACAAAGTGAAAGTCATCTCAGATTTGGTGAGACTTGCCAAAGAAGCATTTTATATCTGCACCTCCTTGAATCACAAGAAACCAACCAAAAGAAAAAACATTCATCATTTCAAACCAGAAAACAGCTGGCAACATTTTAGGTTGGCTATCGATGTTAGTCTTGGACATGGGCAACATCAGAGAGGAAATTTGAAGGCCCATGCCAATAGAAAACGAGAAGGAAAGCAGATAATATAAATGGATTTGTATTCTTCATATAAATTCAGAGAGCAACAAGCAATGGCAAATCATTTCTAATAATTCTCAAGTGTCTGATTTTCCTTTCGTTTTTTATTTTTTTATTTTGGGTTTTGGGTTTACAATTGGGACACAGGCCCAAAAACAAAGCTGGTAGAAGACTGAATCTTTGCCTTCCAACACATGCCCAACATGTGATTCCCAGCTCCACATTCGAGCTCATCCATCAAGTGAGCCAAGCCCATTAGCAATCACGTGCGATAGTTTAAAACTTACGAGTAGAGGGATTCGAACTTAGGTACCAAGGAACGGGTGCACTGCCATAATCAACTAACTTAATCTAAGTGCCCATTTGGCATTGCTTATTTGGGGTGATAGTTACTTTTTTTAAAAAAATGGAAAGTCCAGTCCGTTTGGTAAACTGTGAGAAAATCACTTATTGTTAAAAATTGCTGTGAGAGAAAGCTATAAGGAAAAACAGCTAATGAAGTGCTTTCATTTTTTGATTATGCAGGAATCAGTTTTGAAGAGGCGCTGAGTTTAATGATTATGCCACAATCATTTTCTTATTATGAGGAAATCAATACCAACAACACTTTTAACAAAAAATTTACCAAACTCCAAACTGCTTTATCTCACAGTTGATTTCTCTCATAGCAAATCTGACATAGGTTATTTTCACAGCACAGCAATGCCAAATTGGCCCTAAGTGTGTCAATCATGCTCTTGATTTTTTAAAGTTATTATTGGTAATTTCTAAAGCATATTATAATTATCATGTTGTGACAATGTGTTAATTCGTTGACAATCTAATTTCATTATAAAAATATAAAAAAATTATACTTTGGATTTTCTTTTTCCAAAAAAATAAATTGTGTTTCCAATGATAACGTTGAGAAAGTGCTCACACAATTGGCTGAGCCCTTCTCAAATCGTTTGTACAATAAATCTTACTCATTTGCAGAGGCACCATAAATCATCCCCAAACCCAAAAGAAAAACCAAAAAGAGTTTGAAAAATAATGGTCATACAACACCATATTTCTGGCTCCTAAAATGCCCCTACTCAAGCGTTGTATTTACAAGAGCCGTGGCTGGGGTCGGCGGAAGTAACCTGTCCCGTTTTCGAGAAATCACAGTTAAAATCGTGACGGCCGTTAGCCTGGTAGTAGGCATTCATGAGGTAAGACGCACGGGCCTTAACGTCGTTATCGAAGCAGGTGCCACCTGGCTGGATGGGCTTGCAGTCAACGCCCTTGCTGCAGACGTAGTCAATGTTTGCCTGCAGAGCTTGGTTGGTTGCTCCTGGTTTGGCCACGCACCACTTCTTGCCGCCTCCGGCTGCCACAGGCGCTGCTGGGGTTACTGGTTTGGGCTTCTTACCTCCTTTAACTGGTTTGGCTGGTCCAGCTGGTGCAGCTGGTGTTGCTGGCTGTGGTACTGTTGTTGCCGTTGGTCCAGGTGTTGCACCACCCTAAACATTAATGATTCATAAAACATTTTAGTATTAATAATAAGTTCTCACAATAAAAACTATTTTCCCAATATTACTATTTTTACGCAAATTCTTAAAATTCAAGAGTTATTTTTACGCAAATTTTTATTTCTACCTAGAATTTCCCAAATCGATGAACCGGCTTTGAAGATTTGTTTATTAAATTTTAATATAATAAACAAAACGACGAATCTAGAAAATGAGACGTAATCTAAGGGGCATGTGGCCCCAACAATAAAAAGAAGGTTGAAAAAGTATGGAATTTAGCAATTTAGTATTATAGACAGCATGATGCGAAGAAAGAGAAACACCGAAAATTAATTACGTTTACGAGAACCAACCTGTTGGTTGCGCATAACCCCCGCATTGTAAACCGGAGTCATGTCCGGTTTAAACAGCCCCCAGTTCTTCTCCGCCAGCGGACCAGGTTTCTGGTTCTCATTAAACAAGGCAAAGATGTAAGTGTCGAACTTCCGGTTCGGCATCAACGGCGTGCCCTTGCCAGACTCCACATGCTTGATCAAGTGCCCGTTGTAATCCACGGCGTTCTGAACCGAGCAGACCGGGAACTCGCAAGACGAAGGCCAACCGGTCTCGGCCGCCACCAAGTCGACGTCACCGAACCCGACCGCCTTGGCCGCAGAGTAAACCGCGTCCATCAACCCGTCGAACATGTTCGTGTAAGACTTGCCAGTGAACTGGTCGTGCACGCCCTTGTTGGGTTTGAAGAGAGCGTAGTTTTCCTTTTCCGGCGACCACCCGAAATACGGGTACGGGTTGACCATAAACGGACCTTTGGTCTGGCGCAAGAACCCGAGCATGGGGGTCAGAAGCGGGATCACCTCCGGTCTGAACCGGCCCTGGCTCGGCGGTTCGGACGACAGCATGATCCCGAGCGAGTGAGGGGTGGAGACTTTGACGTCCTTGATGCCCTCGCGGACCAGAGCGTTGTGGAAGGTCCTCATGGCAGGGACGAGGCTGTTTTTAAGGTTGTCGTCTCCCCAGTGGAGGACCTCGTTGCCCATGGCGATGTAGTTGATTTTTGTCTGGGGATAAAACGGCTTGACGTGCTCCACGACCCACCGGCGTGCGGCACGTAGTTTCGTGAGGCTCGGGATGTCTCCGTTGGGGATGGTGATCGTTAAGGAGATGTTGGTGTTGGCGAAAGCCTTGATGATGTCCGGGTTGGCGTCGAAGATCTTGACCTTGTCGATGTTGGTTTGGGTTTTGAGGAAGTTGGCGACTTGGGCCGGTGGGGGGAGGTTGTCGGCGAGGGTGCCGTAGTTTACGCCTATGGCGAAGGCCGTGGCGGCGAGCTGGATGAGGAGGAGGAGGGAGAGGAGGAGCTTTGTGGTGGCCATTGTGTTTTGTTTTGCCTTTGTGGGAATGGGACTTGGGATCAAGTACTTATGGTTGAAAATTGGAAGGAATTGAGAATAGGAAATAGGAGGATAAGGGACCAATGGGATTCGGACATGTTGTTGGTCAATTATCAATTTGACAGAGATTGCCTATTTACAGTTAAATTCTGTTGTCGTTTTCTTGTTTAAGAAGATATGCTATTTTCTCTCCCCAAAAAAAAAAAAAGATATGCTATTTATTACAATGAACTCAGTCCTCTTAATTATCCATAAAAAACTGAAAATAAAGTAGTTGTCAAAACTAAAAAATAACTTACTTAAAACGGGTGTATAATCACAAATTTTTATCTTTATGCTCACGTAATTAATTATGTGAAGAAAGAATTACGACAAAGTTATTATCAGTAAGTTATTTTTCTCCAAAACTTGAATCGCTTAACTAGTTAACTTGCCTATTTTCTAGTTCTATAAACTTCTTTAAAAGAGCTCATAATGTTTCAAAAAAGCCAAGGTTTCAATGCATAGAGAAGCATCTATGTTGTTGCTACATTGAAATGTAAATTTTTGGCGTTGGGTATGCCAACTCATCTTTGGCACTTGGCTATAGACAAAACTAGCCGTTACTCTACGATGCAAAAGATTTTATTAGTCATAATAAAATAAGTTGAAGAGTGTCTTTTAATTATTTCCAATTGGCAAAAGAGCCTAATACCATGTTCTCTTAACATGACGAAATGTTTTATAATATAACTAATCATTCAAGGAATTTTATTTACTGAATTTATATAAAATAAATTTGGGTCAATTTATTTCTTGCGTCTTCTGACTTGGAGCAGTGGAGACCGTGTCACTAAATGTGCACGTGTTTATTAGGACATTTAAGACGACGCGTTGCAATCAGAAAAACGGTAGGACCATCAACTTGGTTTGGCATCTGATGCTTCACGAGCTAACAGTGAGCAAAAGCAAAAGCATCTCCAGAATCTCGATGTTCCAAGAGCAAAAGCAAAGGCGACCCAAACCATTTGACCTTAGCTTGCCCGAGTGGACACCGTGTTCCTTCTGCATTGGCTGTCGACCAAAAAACATATAATTGTCTAAAAGATTGGGCGGCAATTGCGCACATTGATTTTGGTGGTCTTTTTTGCTTTGCCTTTATTATTGTCTGGAAAAAAACATTAAAGCGCTGCGTTTGAGTGGGTAAAAATCAATGACGCGGTTTGCACACGACAAGAGGCTGATATTCCAAAAAGAAAGAAAAAGCAAAGCAATAACAAGAGGCTGACCGCTATGTCGAAGAACACACGAACAGGCAAAGACACCTACTCAAAGGGCTCCATTGGTATTTTCTATACAAATTAAGTAAAAATTCTTAGTTGTTTGTTGTGGCCTTCAAAACGATCTTCGGCCCAGGCTTTAACAAATGTGGGATTGATTCAAATTCTTATTAAACCCTCCAGCTCTTTGTCTGTGGCTCTATGGGCTTGTGCTGCAATACATGAAAACCTATGATTTTAAATGAGGCCCTATTTCTTAATCGCTGGGCGGCAATTGCGCACATTGATTTTGGTGGTCTTTTTTGCTTTGCCTTTATTGTTGTCTGGAAAAAAACATTAAAGCGCTGCGTTTGAGTGGGTAAAAATCAATGACGCGGTTTGCACACGACAAGAGGCTGATATTCCAAAAAGAAAGAAAAAGCAAAGCAATAACAAGAGGCTGACCGCTATGTCCAAGAACACACGGACAGGCAAAGACACCTACTCAAGGGCTCCATTGGTATTTTCTATACAAATTAAGTAAAAATTCTTAGTTGTTTGTTGTGGCCTTCAAAACGATCTTCGGCCCAGGCTTTAACAAATGTGGGATTGATTCAAATTCTTATTGAACTCTCCAACTATTTGTCTGTGGCTCTATGGGCTTGTGCTGCAATACATGAAAACCTATGATTTTAAATGAGGTCCTATTTCTTAATCGCTGAATCAAATTAGTTAGCCATTGAATTAAATTGATTAGTTTGATTCAACGGTTAAGAGATAGATAGTTTTTTATCTGATTATGGAAGAGTCTGTATGGGTTATGGCAAAATTATTAGGTTTGGTTCTCGCCCAAATAATTAGTTTGTGTATTTAGTTTGGGTCTAGCCCAATGTTGGCTTGGATAGAAACCTATGTCTAGTGTGTGGCCCAGTAAAGCAAGTAAAAAAAAAGTTAATCCTATTATTTGAGTTTTAGCTCAAGTGATAGCCGAAACGAGAGTAAGATAATGAATTAGTATTAGAATACATCCAAAGTTCTACAATTGAAAATCATGGTTGGCCGAGATGAGAGTGAGATAATGAGTTAGTATTAGAATACTTCCAAAGTTCTAAAATTGAAAATCATGGTAAGAACATGTACAAGTGGCTTGCATGCCAAAATTTAGTTTGTTTTTACTTGAATAATAACAAAAAAATAAACATTGGTTGCATTAAGTATCAAAGCTCTTAAACTGCGTTAATTGCCAACTAATTCCTTGAATAAAACTTCACAAATGGCATATATGCAAGTACACACCTTGGATTTTGTCTAGATAATAACAAAAATTACATATTGCATGTTTTCCATTTGTCACTCATTCACATGTATGTTGGGGTAAAATGGTCAGTTTGTACACAAATGTTAGAACTAGTACGCTAATAAATAGAACCCACCAGGTTCATAGCTTCCTTTCATTTGCATATGCATACCAGTTCTTGTAAAACTTACCATCGATGAAACAATTTGTGGGCTAGCTAGTTTGGAAAAAAGCCTTTAATGAGAACAAGGACAAATACGTATACGTTGTCATTCTCTGGCAATAGTTTTATTACATGAGCAACACGTGATAGGTAAATATTATCATAGCTTCCTTTCATTTGCATATGCATACCAGTTCTTGTAAAACTTACCATCGATGAAACAATTTGTGGGCTAGCTAGTTTAGAAAAAGGCCTTTAATGAGGACAAAGACAAATACGTATATGTTGTCATTCTCTGGCAATAGTCTTATTACATGAGCAACACGTGATAGGTAAATATTATAACAAAATTGTATTCAAATAAATGGCAAACATCTTGTAAAAGAAAAACCCTTCCGCCCACCCACGACTCTCCTCTCCCTGATTATTAAGATGTTGCGGCGGCGGGGTCCTCTACACTACCAACACTTACTGGTGTCTGATTCGGAGACGGAATCCGACGATCTAAGTGAACATTTTAAGGCTCAAACATCACTGATAAAAAGATGGGGAAAACGAATTGCAAAGGAAGGATCTAAAAGTAAGAGAAAAAATAAGGAAGAAAGCAATGAAGGAAGACGTGGGAGTGCAAAGGCATTGAAGGAGGATCCAGGTTCCAAAATGCTAATTTTCATTTGATATATCTAGTATTTCTGAAACATTTTCTCTCCTTTCATGTATTCTATATAATATATATCATTAATTTCCCTACTTTTAGGTTACTTTTGGCTTTACCACATGATATATATAGCTTTGTAATAATAATATTAACACAAAATATATATAAAAAGATTTATCTGGGTTAGGTTCTATGAGAGCAACATGAACAATATTTTTCTTTAACTCTGCAACAAAATGTAATATGTTGAGCCGAGGCTGTCACTTGCAGGAAAATGCAAATGCCACCTCATTTACAAAAGTAATTATGTATTTTTTATTTTTGCAATTTTATTTTTTGCTTAAAAAAGCCTTAGGTTGTTAGGTTTTAACCTTTATATTATATGGTCACCTACCACCCAAAAAAAAAAAAACAAACTTTATAATAAATATAAAGTCCATTTTGATAAATCAAAAGAATATAGAAAAGAATAAATTAAATCACATCGTATAAATAAATCTCAAAACACAAGCAATACATGCATGTACGCTCACTTCTGATATAGTTTTTTTCAGTTTAAACTTCTCTCCATTACTATGAACCAACAAGAAGGATTTTGTAATGCAGAAGTTGTGGTGAAGATTGCAAACCATTATCAAGAACAGATGAAGCAGATTCCGATCCCGAGGAATCGCCGGAAGGACGCCATCTTCGTCACGTGGCGGGCACTAGCAAATTCCATGAAGCAGTTTTATGGGCAGCCATTGCACTACATGACTCAAGTTCTGGTAAAGCAGTGGGATGAGTCAAGAATTGGCAGTGTGGAAGAAGAGAAGCCAATGGACAACATTATTCATCCAAGGAGAGCTGAATCTACCATTTGGGATGTTGAACAAGTCCACAGGCAATGCACTTCTCACATTCATTTGGCTAAGCTCTGGCTTTCTGACCCCGACTACTATGCTTTTGTTGATGAGGTTATCCCCTCGTCTAAGCTGGTTGCATGAATTTTTAATTTTCCATTTTCGAATATTAATGTTAATTACATGTGTGGGATTTAGTGACCGATGGTAATTTTAAGTGTTGCAAAAACTCATTTGATGAAGAACTTGTTGGTCGTTCGTTGGAATATTTGTTGTACGGCTCTTCTATTAATAACATATATGTTTGGAATATTTCTTATGCAAATAAATTGTAAATATTTGTTGTTTTGAAATGCCAAATAATCCAAATGGTTTTATCAGGGAGATGATTTTGGCACTACAAATTTCACTTCTCACACTCTTCGATTACGCAATGAGGTAACGTAAGAGTAGTGACTGGAGTGCCAAAATCATCGCCTTTTTATTATAAAAAAAATAAAAATAAAATGTGTTTATCTTTCTCTTATGACATTATTGGTAAGTTGTTGTTCGGCTTCCTAAATCTAATTGTCCTCTATATGGGTAACTAATTAAACACCCTTCTAGTGCATGTACAGGTACAGATTGTTTATGTCAGTGTGTGTGCGTGTTAAGTGTGAAAGAAAAACAGGTAGAACGTGAGGTGTGTGAAGACAATCAACCAACGTTATTGTGAAAACATGTTTAAAAATCTAAATTGGATTTTTCCCATTTATGGCAGTGCTATTATCTCTAATTTTGGTATGATTTAAATTTGAACGTACATTGCATCTATGGGCTTTTGCACGAGTGCCCATTAAGTTTTGGTTTTTGAACTATTTTCGGTACCTGCTACTATAAGCTCCTGCTTAACTTGAAACTTGGACCAATTAAAAAAACAACAAGAAATCAAAATCATGAGAATCTTCAGCAAGCTAACGGAGTGCTCATGTTCACCAGAACTATTCATTCTAGTTGCAAGCTAAAAGGATCACCATATTGCATATGACTTTCACAAATTTGGGTAAAATGGTCATTTTCCGTACAAATGTGTAATTTGCAAATGCACAACCTGAATTTTAACTAAATGATAACAAGAGGTTACCATATTGCATGTCTTCCATATGTCATCTATCTTTCACAAATTAGGGCAAAACGGTCATTTTTCGTGCAAATGCATGCACAGCCTGGGATTTTGTCTGGATGATAATTAGGTTACCATCTTGCATGTTTGCCATATGTAAATCTTTCACGAACTGGGGCAAAATGGTAATTTTAGCACAAAGCTTTACATTATAAAAGAAACCACAAGGTTACATATCTTTAAAGCAGAGAAAATTGAGATGAAGGCTGCATCCCTGCTCAGAAGCAGGGACATAGTTGGCCATAAGGAATGCCATGCCTTTCTCAGAATAGCTAAACTGAGAAGCTCGGGGAGAAGAATCTCTACCTGTCATTGGTGGCTTTTGAATGGTTGGATTGCTGAGAAGAGGACTCCACAATCACAAAGTCAATATTCGGTAAAATTCTAATTAAGATTTTAGTCTATTTTGTTTTCGGAAAGCTTCATATATTTATGTATTGAATTTGTGATGGCAGAAGTACCCTAAAGAAAATATGTGTTTATCTTTCTCTTATGACATTATTGGTAAGTTGTTGTTCGGCTTCCTAAATCTAATTGTCCTCTATATGGGTAACTAATTAAACACCCTTCTAGTGCATGTACAGGTACAGATTGTTTATGTCAGTGTGTGTGCGTGTTAAGTGTGAAAGAAAAACAGGTAGAACGTGAGGTGTGTGAAGACAATCAACCAACGTTATTGTGAAAACATGTTTAAAAATCTAAATTGGATTTTTCCCATTTATGGCAGTGCTATTATCTCTAATTTTGGTATGATTTAAATTTGAACGTACATTGCATCTATGGGCTTTTGCACGAGTGCCCATTAAGTTTTGGTTTTTGAACTATTTTCGGTACCTGCTACTATAAGCTCCTGCTTAACTTGAAACTTGGACCAATTAAAAAAACAACAAGAAATCAAAATCATGAGAATCTTCAGCAAGCTAACGGAGTGCTCATGTTCACCAGAACTATTCATTCTAGTTGCAAGCTAAAAGGATCACCATATTGCATATGACTTTCACAAATTTGGGTAAAATGGTCATTTTCCGTACAAATGTGTAATTTGCAAATGCACAACCTGAATTTTAACTAAATGATAACAAGAGGTTACCATATTGCATGTCTTCCATATGTCATCTATCTTTCACAAATTAGGGCAAAACGGTCATTTTTCGTGCAAATGCATGCACAGCCTGGGATTTTGTCTGGATGATAATTAGGTTACCATCTTGCATGTTTGCCATATGTAAATCTTTCACGAACTGGGGCAAAATGGTAATTTTAGCACAAAGCTTTACATTATAAAAGAAACCACAAGGTTACATATCTTTAAAGCAGAGAAAATTGAGATGAAGGCTGCATCCCTGCTCAGAAGCAGGGACATAGTTGGCCATAAGGAATGCCATGCCTTTCTCAGAATAGCTAAACTGAGAAGCTCGGGGAGAAGAATCTCTACCTGTCATTGGTGGCTTTTGAATGGTTGGATTGCTGAGAAGAGGACTCCACAATCACAAAGTCAATATTCGGTAAAATTCTAATTAAGATTTTAGTCTATTTTGTTTTCGGAAAGCTTCATATATTTATGTATTGAATTTGTGATGGCAGAAGTACCCTTCCGGTGATCGTATCTACAACACCAAACATCAAGTGATGATTCATGCTTGGCAAGATCAGGGCATCACCTTAATTAAGCTGTCTGCTGCAACTCAACTTTCAAACCTTAGACAAACAAAACACCAAGCAAAAAACCAAAGGATCGAAATCATGGACAACAACAACAATAATCCTCAGCAAGCTAATGAAGCTGTGCTCCTGTTCAGCAGCATGGCATGTCGCCATTGTCAATGGCGACAGTGGAGATAGTCCAGGAACGGGCACGCCGCACGTGGAGGCAGCACCATGCCACATCCACCTTCTTCGACCATACATGCCGCGGGGTATAGCTAGCTGGCTTCTTCTGGGATGGGTGGTCGAAGAGCGACGGATGCCCACCAGGAGACTCTACAAACCTTTTACCAAAAGAAGGAAAAAACTTGAAGTCACAGAGACTCTTCAGCAAGCTAGTGAAGCTGCTCATGGCATGTCGCCATTGTCAACGACGGTACACAAAATAGAAGAACTAGCAAGACGAAGGGAGAGGAAGCTACCCTTTTCAGCTGTTTTTCTTAGCTTTTGTTCATCTTTGATATAGCAAAAGTAAATCCACCAGTCGATGTATATTGTTCTTGGATTAGACATGTTAAATAAAAAATAAATAAAAAAGTTATTGAATTGCCGTTTTCATCACTTGGTTTGATCTATATTTACTTACAGTTTGGGTTCTGCACACGTCTTGAATACCTATGCTTTCTTCGGTCCTTTCCAGTGTTGGTATATAGACATTTCGACACAAGAATTTACACATAGGTGAAGTTAAATTTTCAATTTCCTACTATCATTTGGCTAAGCTCTGGCTTTCTGACCCGGAGTATTATGCTAGCTCCTCATCTAAGTTGGTTCCATGAAATTTAATTTTCCATTTGAATGAATTTCTTAACATTGGTTTATTAATTAATGCCGACCGAGTCTAACTCAATGGAAAAGGGTCTTGACTTGTAGACAAGAGGTCTCTCAAGCTCAAACCCCATGGCATCATCTGTGTGTGTTTGTGAGAAATCCCCTTCCCCTTCTAGTTTGGACTCTCGCTTCTACTCAAAAAACAAAAAACATTGGTTTATTAACATAATAATGTTAATGGTGTATACTTATATAAATGCTATATATCACAATTAGAATATAATCCAAATGGTTTTATTATAACTAAGAAAATTAATATGTGTTTATCTTTCTCTTATGTCATAATTGGTAAAGCAGTTTGGCCTCCCAAATTTATTTGTCCTATATTTAAACACTCTTCCATTGCATGTACTCCGTTTGGACAAGTTGTTTATGTCAGTGTGTGTGTGTTAAGTGTGAAAGAAAAACAGGTGAGAACTGAGGTGTTTAGTCATTTATGGTCTTCCCTTACTCTGAATTTTGTCCATTTTAGTAGTATTCTTATTTGTAAACATTTTTGGATTCATGGTTATCCTAGTTTTGGTATGCTTTAAATTTGTACATTGTATCTATAACTTTTGCACGAGTACCCATTAAGTTTTGGTTTTTTTAACAATTTGGCCTTAAGGTTTTCTCTTTTCTAATAATAACCCATATGAATCCTGAACCCCCACGAAAAACCTATTTTGGATTAAAATGCCTTTTCGTATCAATGGCGACAGTGGAGATAGTCCAGGAACGGGCACGCCGCACGTGGAGGCAGCACCATGCCACGTCCACCTTCTTCGACCATACATGCCGCGGGGTATAGCTAGCTGGCTTCTTCTGGGATGGGTGGTCGAAGAGCGACGGATGCCCACCAGAAGACTCTACAAACCTTTTACCAAAAGAAGGAAAAAACTTGAAGTCACAGAGACTCTTCAGCAAGCTAGTGAAGCTGCTCATGGCATGTCGCCATTGTCAACGACGGTACACAAAATAGAAGAACTAGCAAGACGAAGGGAGGATCTAGGGACACTAATTTTATCAGCACAAATTATTTAGAAAATTTGATTTTTAAATCTCATAGAGTTATAAATTAAATACATACGAGTGAGGGAGAGCGTGGGAGCATATATAAATTTAAAGTGTTATATTTCGAATGATGAACTAGAAGTTCCATGTTCTTCATTGCATCGTTAGCCACATGCATTAACCCTTTATTACACGTGCATTAATATATGATTACATATATTTTTACTTACATACATGATCGATAGAAATTTGGATCTACTTTTTTTATTTTATCATTCCATCCAAAGCAACTAGAGCTAAAGCTCATAAGCGCTAATTCATGCTCTTAACAGCCAGCAAGAGCAGCACAGTGATTTGAAAAAATTATATTACCAGGAGCACAAATTTTGGTCTCTTTTTGTTAGATTAATATAAGAACCCACGATTACGCAGATAAATAGTTTTCTGACCGTACATCTTAGGGTATTTAGCAGATAGAACCCTTCTGAATCATATTACCAGGGGCACAAATGAAAACGAATTTACAAGACTGGCTGTATATATATATATATATATATATATATATAGGAGAGTTGAGCTGCTCAGAAGCATCACCTCGCGTACTGTAAGCCGCCTGCAACTTCTCAACCTTCAAACCTTAGACAAAAACAAAACATGAACAACAGTAATAATCCGCAGCAAGCTAATGAAGCTGCTCCTGTTCATGAGCAGCCTGGCAT